ATTCTTCAATTTATCCAAATGTGCACCAACTACAACATGAGGTTGCCCAAACTTTCTCTGGAGAGTTGCTAGAGCATCCTTATACAACACTCCACTGTAGCCGTATTCCGCAATTGCACTCTTGGCTTTGTCTTTAACGTGTGTTTTCAGATATTTGAGTTTTTCATCATCAGTTAGCATAGCCGAATCAACTGTTGCTTGGAACTGCCCGAACCATTCATACCAGTTAAGTGGTTCTCCATCAAACACTTCCAAGTTCAACTCCGGTAGACGGTCTTTGCGGCTATGCAGAATGATATCTGCTAACTCTCCCGCCGAGATGGGTTGTTCGCTATTAGGCACGTAAGACGGGCCCGTAGTGAGCGCAGGATATGTAGGTGGATAACCTTGATGCGCTGTTTCAACAACTGGATGAGTTTGCGGCTGGGTGTAATACACAGTCCCAAAACTTGTATAAGGAACTACGGTGTTTGGTGGAACAACAGGAGTTGTCACTGAGAAAACGTTTGAGGGCGGTGCGCAGTATTGAGGAACTGGCATCGTTTGCGCAGTCGCGGCAGGTCTCCACAAACTGCTATACGGGTTATAGTGTTCACTTGAGAAACTTGTTGGGTTGCTTGGAACATTTATAGGTTGATGGGATGGCGCTGCAGGCGCCTGATATCCAGTTGAAACGGGGCCGGAATGTGGCTGACTGACCGGAAGCAAAGAGGGAATAGGAACGGTTGACGGGACAAATGGTTGAATAATCGGAAGCGAAATGGGAATCGGAACGGTTAATGGAGGAACAAAAGGTTGACTCGCCGGAAGCGAAACTAGATTAGTAACGGTCGACACAGAAGGCGGTGCCACATTAATGGTGGGATTACCAAAGGGCATTGAAGCGGGAATGCTACCACTTGCTTGTGGTATCAGATTGTGATTTTGCGAAACTTCAGCATGAGGTGTTGAAGCTAAGTGTGGAGTAACAAAGTTTGAGCTGGAGGCAACGAACTGTGGTAAACTAGATGGGTTCTCGATTGAGTGCAATGACAGACGCGATTGGACCAAACTTGATCTCTGAGCCTGAATTCGATTCCTATTGTGGCCTCCCGGTTCACTGTATGTGGTTTGACCAGCGTTGACGACGGCACCCCCGCTGACGACGGCACCAACCCCTTGCAAAACATCAGTAGCAATCAAAGTGGAACTCTCGACTACTGGATGACTTTGCTCTGAGCTTGCAACAACTTCGGCCTGCTCTTGCTCAGTGACAACGTTTTCTACCCATTGTTCAGTACGTTGTGGGTCAACATGTGTTACGCTAGCATTTCCTATCTTCTCACTTGCTGCAGAAAGCTCTTCTTCCAACTCGAATTCCTTTAACTCAATTTCAGCCAGTTTCTTGCGGTGTACCTCAGCTAGTTCTTCCAACTCTAAATTACCTTGCTGTTCTTTTATTTTATTTTGCTGCGCTTTCAACTTCAATGACACCTTTGCTTGTCTCTCAAGTTCCTCCTGCTGCTTCTTCAAAACCAACAAATCTCGCCTCTTCTCAGTTGATGTTTTTGACTGCGCGACGGTATAGCGACTGGATTTATGCGAACTTGATTTATGATGTCGACTACTGTACCGCGACACCTTAGAGCGCGCATCTGCTTCATGTGAATCTTGTGGTTGTGTTGTTACGATCGTACTTAACGATTCTGCAACATTGTCAAGCTCTGTTTCCTCAGGTTCAACGTTTAAGCCAGCTTTACATGATGCAGCCTTCTGTAAAACTGTATCGTTTCTTGATGTAACCGTATGAAGCCACATATCCTGCGCTGGTATCAATTTATCAGGATCAACACTTTTAGAAGCTAACTTAATCAATTCCTCATTTATTTCAACTGCAGTCTCTATCAGGCTCTTGCAATTCTGAATCTGAGTGTCAATCTTTGATGAGCGACTCTGACTTTCAATGTTCTCAATTATAATTTCATGGCACTTGTACAGTTCATTTTCAAGCTTGGTTCGCTTCGCAAATAACCTTTGAACCCTCTTCTGAAAGTTCTCATCCATGGCTCTAGGGTCTATACTTAACTCAAACTATACTTAACGGTTATCGGGCGTTTGCGGGGCGATTCGGAACGATTTTCGGTGAGTAAAGTTACCAATGGGGCTGGGGATTAAGTAAGTCGGTTGATATCAAACAACACACATGGAGTAAACCTGAGGATGAATAAAACCAACTTAACTTACTTAATATCACCTCCCTGACCACTTAGGATGATGTTACGGCGTACGAAATTTGTTGAACGGTCGTACGACGGTGCGTCACTACTAATCGGCTAGTAGCTCGACGAATTACCAAGAGGTTTGGGAATTAAGCAAGTCGGTTGAAAACCAACAACACACGCGGAGCAAACCTGAGGATGAAAGACAACAACTTAACTTGCTTAATTTTACCGTCCCGGACCACTTAGTCAGTCGTTGCGAAACGAATGTTTTGAAAAACGAACGGATGCAAACAGGTATCAAGTCGTTGTAAACCTTAAGTTTACCAATGGGGTTGGAGAATCAGGCAAATCGGTTAAGTTCCAACAACACACGCGGAAAAAACCTGAGGATGAAAAAACTCAACTTAATTTGCCTGATATTTTGCTACCAGACCACTTACCATAAGGTTGGTGTCATGTTACAGCACAGTTTCGCAGAATTATGGGGACGTTTTGACGATTTTTTGGAATTTTTTTTCTTTCCCAAAATTTTTCGGAAAATTTTGGTCGACAGGTTCGAGTCGCAAACCAATCCAAAAAACTAGTCCAGTACCTTTTGTCTATGTTCCGTTTTTCTGGACTTTCAATCCGTTCACAATTACTCAAAAATTTGTGGTATCGGGAAAAAATACCACTTGTAGCTTGCTTTGAGTTGAGATACACAATAAGACACCGTATGTAATTTTATTGCACAAAAAAGTTTATAAAGATTAGACTAGTCTTACAGTTTTTGACGGTTTTGGAGATTGGGCGGTCACCGGGAAAAATCCAAAAACTTCGGGTGTCGAGAAAAACACAGCTCCACTTTGACCACAAGTCAACAATCAGGACACCTGAACAGGCCTCTCTTCCGCTAGTCAGTCTGCTCTTTCGTCAGTCTGCTATGTCTTCTGTCGGCTTACAGGCTCCTCGCTGTCGGCTTACAGGTCCTCGTCTGTCGTCTGTCGGCTTACAGTCCGACTGCACACTTCCAATTTGGTCAACACACTGATGTCTGGCCAATGAGAATTCGGCCAAACGGGTGAGGCGGTATTCGGTGGTATTTCGGCCAATCGCGTCCCTTGTGTCGATCGAATTTGTGTCGTCGTCGGTCCCTCACGACAGCATATAGCACGGAAGGGGGGTGCTCTTCCTTTCAGAATATATATCGAGTGAAGAGGATAGAAGACAACTCAGTGGCGTCTAACTTTACATTCTTGTCACCAGGAGAACAGCTCATTTCAATTATTGGTAGGCATTTATTTATCCTATTCTGAGGTTCAATTATCCTTTGTTCGACCTGAAGGTTGCGAGAAAAATAAACTCGGGTCCCTGTCAATAAAACACCTCGTGCCCCACGTTGGGCGCCAAAATGTGACGCGCCAATCTCCACACTTCGTAATAAAATCGGTTTTCAAACACTTGAATTATAACGAGTACTTTATCGGGAAAATAACGATATTTTTAACAAGCTTTTTTATTGTTATCGGTAACATCGGTAACATCGGACCACAATAAAACTGCATAACTCAAAGCAAGCTGCAAAAATGGCCAGTATTTGTCCTTGAGACAAATTGCTCTTTTTAAAGGTCAGCCTTAACCAAGGCTGAACCAAATTAGAGCGAAAATACGGTTAAAATGGGTTTTGGGGGGACCGAACCTGGTTACGGAGCATCCCATCAAGTTCGGTGCACATTCGAGTTCTAGAAAGGAAATGACCTAGTCGGGATTCGAACCGGCGCCGAACCCGCCGGGACGCACCATGTATACGCTTGGCTACTGTCCCTGTATGCATTTACTTTGCGCTGCAACAAGGGCCTCTCATTGAAGTTAATTTTTTAGTTTCTTTGTTCTTTATTTTGGCTTTTTCATCTTATTTCTTTTGATCTGGTCAAAGCTTTTACCGCTACTAATTGACGCTTGCTGCGATTCGTCGCGTGCTGCAAATAGTTGCTTTTTACAAATGCCATGACTGGTCGCTTGCGACGAATTGTCGCCAAGCCGCAATTTCTTATTTCATGAACCAAACTAATAATTAACATCTTACCCTAAAAGGATTAAGAGGGGATGGTTAGTTGGTTGGCGAGTAGGGGAATGTTTACGTGGTCCGATTGAGCCGAAGTTAAAAAAAAATGAAATTGATTTAATACAAATTTCATCATACAGCAGCTTCAGTTGTTGCAAGCACTCTTAGAAAAAAATGCAGCAAAAATTTTGTGAACAAAGGTCACTAGTCGATGAAGGATGGTGCTATCCTGCGATGTCCAGCAAAAATTTTCAAATAGTTGATGTTTTTTCACAATATCTGGTAAGTTGGTGGGTTATCTTGTACGCTTGATGAAAGACAAAAGTTGTTTTGCAATATTTTGCAAGTTTCATGCAAGATCTTTTCAATTTATATATAATCTTGAGTAGGTTCTTGCAAAATTTTTTTCAAGATGTTTTTATGATAATCATATCAGTAAATTGTACAAATCGGTTATAAAATCATTAAAAACTTCATTAAAAAATAAGATATTTTGTAGAAAATCATTCATGATACATGCAACTATTTCAAATCCAGAAAACTGAAAAATTACACCGAAAAAAAAAACGAAAAGTTGCCACACAATTTTAAGCCTTTTCAGTTCCGGATTTTCATTTACTTTAATTTTTGATCAGCTCCCAATGATTTACTCCCACTTTTTGCCCTCACACAAGTTTCGCATAAAATGTGAACGAAGAAAAGCTTTCACACCGATGTCAGAAGACTGTTCAAAAACTGTTAGGTTTCAATGGTACCTTTTCGAATAACTTGCTCTCGAATAGTTCTTTGATTCTGTCAGACGGATTCACCCCCCTCTTGCTCCGAATAAGCACAAATATCTTGTCGACCCCACTGCATGCTCTCAGAAGCTTCTCCAACACCGACTTCCCAATGAATCCTTTAAAAAAACGGATTATAAATCGAATCATAGTTATCCGTCTCTTCCTTTAGTGAAGTAAAAGGGAAAAAAATGTTTTTTTTTAGGATTCTTCTAAATGGGAAAACTGATTTTTATATTTAGAAATATTGCACTTTTTCAAATGAAATACAATTTTTTTTTAGTTTAGAGATAACAATTACAAACACGTATACTAAAAGTTGTTTCGCTATCGTTTTTAATAAATTTAGAAAATTGTTTTTCATGTAAAACTGCAAATTTTCTTCCATATGAAAATTAGTTTTCTATTTCTGATGAATCCTAAAAAAAGACTAACCAGTGTCTCGTCAACTGTTTTTGTTCTGATTACTTTAAGAAGAGAACGGAAGGAACTAAGGATAAGCCTGTAGTTTTTTTTTCGCCCAGTTTTGACTACCTCTGTGATTCAGATTCCAAAAATGTTTTTAAAAAGATTTTCTTTCGGTTCCCGGTTCGAGAAAAGCTGGTTTAATTTTCCTTTCTACAGAATAAATGACACGAAGTTTACAAATGGAACTCTCAATTAATGCAACATTTAAATGTTAAGTTTGCTATTAGTTTCTTTGTTTAAATCTAATTCAGTTGCCTCTAATGAAGAAAAAAGAGCACAAAATTTAGAAAAATGAAAACGATTTTTTTTCTTTTTTTCAACAAAATTTTATGATTTTTCAAATTAATTGTTTTGATTATTGTATTCGGAATATTCTGTGCTTTTTGCACGGTTTTTTGACAATACGCCATCCTTGTTAGATTTCATTAAATTAATTTTATATTAAAAATTGCAGTTCTTAAATCTTGAGTTCAATTTTTTTAAATAGCTGATCAATTTCGAATGGGACAAATATTTTAAGGTCGAAAACAGTTAAAAGCTTAAACTCGTCAGCAAACAGAGTCAACAAGTTCAAAAAATTTATCACGCAAAAAGAAGTTCGTTGTTTTACAAAAAATATTTGCCATTTATAATGAGCTTTTTGTGATTGCTGTCTGAGTTTTATGGATTTCTTGTGATTTTATCAAAAAAGAATTTGGTACATCTCAAATTGCGGGCAAAAAACTAACGTAATTGTTACTAATTTTATTTCTTTTTTGAAGAGTTTTTTTCACGTTTTATTGTTATCTTTCTCTAGTTGCGTTACTTATTTTCTCCAGTATAAATTATTTTACCTGTGACACCAGTCATGAAAACGGAAGTTCCATCATAAAACTCAGGAATAGAACACATTCCCTCTATCAAATCTTGACCAGATGAACCCTCTGTGACCTTCTGTTGACCTCTTGACCCCTGACCTTCACCGGTTGACATGTCTGAACTCACGGAGACCTCGGAGTTCTGGAGCAAGTTGAAGTAACGCGTATTCTGATTCAAATAATCTGTAACTTTATCGGACATCGCGTGAAAGTCAAAGATTCGCAAAAAATAGCGATTTTCTAATCTCTTGCTTTCGAAAACGATTTTTGACTTCTGTCTACATTTCCGATCAAAATTGTTATAGCAAATCAAAATAGAACATGTTTTTTTTGCGTTAAGCAACAATGCTGTGATGAACATGACTATTGGTGACGTGTTAATTTGAACTTTTGAAAAAAAAATTGAACAGCAAAAGCTTTTGTAGATGAAAAAAAAACAGCTTTTTTAGATGAAAAAGACTAACAGCTTTTTTAGATGAAAAAGAGTAAAAGCTTTATTAGATGAAAAAGAGTAACAGCTTTTTTAGATGATAATTCAAGCCACGGTAGTGAATGCAGACCTGGCTATACCTTCTGAAACAGTTTAATTTATTGGTATTTGTTGAATAAATCATTAAACTAATCACCTGGAATATGCATCGCTTTAAATATTTAAACATAAAACTACGCTGATAAAAATGCAATTACATAGACTTATAGATTTGCGTAAAAATTAGAGTGAATTGCGATTCGAATGAATTAATATTGACTCAGAGGCGAAACTGAGCTTCGCACCATTTGCGATACAAAAACTACACTGCTGAAAACTACAACCGGACAAAACGAACCACATAGGAAAATTTAAACGCGCTTTTCACCAATTAGGGAAACATTAGACAAAAGCCGAAGAAAAATCAAGTTGATTAGAGAATCACTAGAATTAGTATGGGGCAATTTGTTTTAAGGAGTTCGGAATCAAATTTTTACCCTAGAAAAGAATCAGCTGGAATTTTTTTTAGTTAATCAAGAATTCCGGTGGAACTACCAATTTAATTGATGAGACACTCATATCAAAAGGAACCAAATACACAGCTCACCAATTTTTTTGCAGGGTAAAACCTTTTAAATTTGTTTATCAGCTGAAATTTTGTGACCTGTTTTAGCAAAAAATGTTCCCCTAAACACAATTTTTGAAATATTAATTTGTTGGGATGAGTCAGAGACTTATTTTGATATAAGTGTCACACCAATTATTGAGTGTTTTCAGCGTAACTCTTGATTTCAAAAAAGTCAAAACGACCCTTTTATGGGCCAAAAATGTTCATTCCGAATTTCGCAAAACAAATGGCACAATACTTTTGGTGAAGTTCTGAGTAATTTTTGCTCCGTTGTTGTTTTGTAATCTTAAACTAATTTGAGAAAAACAAGTTTGAATTATGAAATTATACTCAATTTTTCATAATAATTTAAATCAATTCAGCACTGTATAGGATTAAGACAGCAAGACGCTCAAAAATTATCGAATTTCGAGAAATTCGAACAATACTACTATTAAAAAAGAACTAGAAAAACAAAAAAGTCTAAAATTTTTTTTGTTCTCATCATGAAATGAGCGAGCGGGGCTTTATAATTGGGTGTGTTTTATTGTGAATATTGTGACTGCTCTTTAGCGCACGATGAAAATCGCTTTCATTTAAAAGTTGATGACCTGGTATGAGCAGTCTTGGGCTTCACGCTGATACATGCCGTCTTGATTTCAAATAAATGTCAAATAAATTAAGACGGCATTTATCAGCGTGAAGCCCAAGACTGCTCATACCAAGTCATTATGTCCAGTTTGTACAAGCTATGATGATTAAGAAAAAAATACATTTTGCGCCGGGTAACGTTTTATTAAGGAAAAATTGTGCGCTCAGTAATAGCATTTAAAACCAATTAATTTTCTAGTTACATTTTAATAGTGCAAAATAATTTGAGCGATTTTTATCTGAATTTGAACTAGAGTAGTCGATGTAGTCGCAAAATCAAATCCTTATAATTTTACAATTATAATTTCAGGTGAAAACGTTTTTAAATTTGATCTCAGGATGTCATTATATTCCAGGTGATATAAGAAGCACATTCAAAAGAGATTGGTAAAAAAGTCAAAAGTTGTCTGCTGAAGAAACCCACGCCAAAGAACAAAACTATCGGAACGATAAACAAAAAGTTTTGATTTTTTTAAGCTCTTTTCCACTCCATTTGCATTTTTGTTTCGAAAAAAAAAGAAAAATTTTACGTGGTCAAAATGTAATGAAGTTTTGCATGTTGATGTAATTAATTATTCTGAACACATTTAGCATTTAGTCTTTATAAGTCACATCGTTAATTCACGCCTTCAGTCATAGTAACACGTACCACAATCGAGAAAAGGAAAAATTTAAAATGTGGATGGAAACTGAAAAAGATCCATTTTTTCTAGTTTTTTTTTCTCACATCCACACGCTATGTAAAGTATTACGCGACGTTTTTTTTGGTTTTGGTAGCTTAGCACTGATGCCAATTTACTTGCTTCAATCGAATTTTGATTCATACAATTTGCCGCTTACAGGTTTAAGTTTTAAAACTTAGAAAAATTAAATAAAATCAAAAATTAAACGAGTTCAACGGGTTTAGAAATCAATCCCCACATGTTTTTAAAAGATTGTACTGATAAAATTAGAATGCTTTTTGACCAACCAACATGCTTCTTCTGTACTTGAACCAATTTAAATAGCAGCTCGCATAAGAATAAAGCACAAAATTCTTCGACCGTTAGTTATCCCAGTTGTTAGCGGTTTTGGCATTTTTCAAACCCTCATAATTGTGAGAAAATTGCTCGAAGTTAAATTTTTTTCTTCCAAAATTCATTTGAAATCATTAATAGATTTCGGATTTTAAAGAAAACTATCAAATTACTAGTTAGAAGTCAAAACATGCTTTGAGAAGAACCTAACCGGGCACAAATTTTGTGTCATTTTCCGGTGAACGGCCGGAGAAAGTCGATGAACGGCCTTTTTCCGATCAATGTCAAAAACTCTGCGAAAAAAAACTAAAACAGGTTGAGTAATTTGTCTATGTGAAACGTATCTATTTGTAATTTTTCACTATACAAGCAATTGTAAATTTAAAGTTTTGTTATGTAGGTGGAAAGCAAAATAAGTATTTGAGATGTATACCAATTTCTTAGTGTGATTGTCTCTCGGATTGTTTTTGATTAAAATGACAAAACTAAGGAAATTAAAAACATTTTTTAAAATTATTGTCTGTTTTTGTTTTCTTCAAGTATCATCGAGTTCATTTGCTTTATTTACTTAAAGAGCCAAATTTAGTCCACATTTTTATTTTTGAACTTAATGCCGTTCAAGAAAGCAAACGGGATGCGCAAAAAAACTTGTTCTACGCTGCGCTTTTTCTCCTGTCAGTTTCAAGCGTATTGTGTTTTTTTTTCTTTCGATTTCAGAGATTTTTTTCGTATTTTTTGTCATGTGGTCTTAATTTGCCATATGCTGATTAACCCTCCAGCTCAACTTACAGGCCCGAAATTTTTGTCTTGCTTGTACATTTTTAAAAATCTAAAGCTCGTTCGATCTTCAACTAAAATTTATGTCCCTTTATCGTGCTCCAAATTTCATGATCTAAGCTTCATGTGCAATTTTTATTGTTCAATTTTGAATTTTTTCCTACTTCATGATTATATTCTTAACTTGCCATAAACAGATTTTTTCTTAAAAGTCAGATTACCAGTCCCAAAACTTCTGTCCCGTCTACTTTCAAAATTTTTCAAATCTACATTGTTAAAATAAAATTCTTCAAAAACGTTTTTTTAAGTCAATTTTTCTTGCGTTTTGACGTTTAACTCATTAAAATGAGCTCAAAAGTTTAACCAATCAAAATGATTTGAGTTTAAAGCAGTACATTTCTTTTGTAATTCAGTTTTTTCAGACGGTTGCATTTCACGGCATGATATTTTTTGAGCAAGGTAATGTTTGTGTTTTACATGGATTTACACAGAACCCAGTTACACAAAAGTATTTTTACTGATGGGTTATTCGGCAATTACAATAAAAAGTTAATACAGAACTATTGCATTTGAAAAAATGAAAAGTGAAAATTGAAAAATGAAAAATAATATCTTGGCCGTTGAAATAGTATCAAGCATTTACTACTTCGAATCTTCAGCAGGCAGATTCTAATCCAAAAACTTAATATATGGTACATAATATGTGGTATGATAAATCAGAAATTTTGCAAAAAAAATGTAAAACAAACAAATTTTTTAAAATGTTTAATGCTATTAAATGCTTAGCACTCGACAGATATATTCTATTGGCCAATTTAAACTAGTTTGTTTTTTAAATGCATTATCGCCCAATGAAAAAAAAAGATCCCATAAAAGACAACAAGGCTGCTCGTATCAGGGCAAGGCCTGAAATTTTCAATTGTCCTGTAGCTGGTTTGTCTCAAATAGTTTTCAGTTATAAAATAATGACAAATTAAGAATGTTAAACTGATAATATCAATGTTCAAGTGCTGAAATGTGAGTCGTATAGGAAAATAATATGATTAATCAGCCTGTCTCAAATCAACTTGAAACGATATTGTAGTGCGGGATAATTTGTCACGCGTAAGTTATTTGCCTTACTTTTCGATCCACTTTGACTTCAATCATTAAATATTTAGATTTTTTTATAGTTTTTATTCTACTATATGTAAAATAAACGTGAAATAAACATCGGAATGTATAAAGAGCACATGAATTTCAAAAACAGTTGAACAGAAATTTTAAGTTTCAAAAAATGGTTTGTGTATTTATCCTGAAGTTTTTTTTACCACTAACTAATCTGAATATGATTAAGTATTGTGAGAACAGCAAAAAAACTTCATCTGTTTGTTGTAAATGCATATGTTATAATTTAATTTTACAGAGATTTTCTCAGAAAAAAATTGAGATCTGAACTTTTTCAAGGTTAAATTGGATCTGAAATTTTCTATTTCAGATAGAAAATAAAGATCTGAACTTTTAAAAACCTTATCAAAGATCAGAAATCATGTATTTCAGATCTGAGAATCAACCTATTTAAGAAATCCAGAATTTCATTTTAAAAATACCGTTAGGCGCGGGAACACTGGGTCTCTTAATGACCGATTTTTGATAATGCTAGCATACGGGCTTCTAAAATTGTTTGGAGGTTGTCTTCACATTCCATAGTGGAAAATTACTGGCACTGTAAGTTTAAACAATCGTCTCATTTTCAGTGCTTTACAAAATTTATAAGCGTCAATTTGCAGGAAGCCTTAATTTAAATAGAAAACATTGGTTCTACTTTTGCCAATGTTAACCTTTCATATATTTGTTTGGGGCGAGGAGCGACTCTGTTATTCAGACCAATTTAGAAAAAAAATGCTTGCTCACATGGGGGCTCGACCTCTGGGCCTACTTGGTTCCCTCTGGGCTGTTGTCGCCACTAAATTCATTAGCCAGTCTGGTCATTTTGGATCGAACCGTCAAAAGAAAAATGCTTTGATGCTGAATGAAAAATTATTTAAAAAATTCTAAGTATCGATCAACGAGTAATTAATGATTGAAGTCAAGGTGGATCGAAAAGTAATGGCTCTCAATAAGTTTAGTAATCAATTGCTTTAGTAATCCATTGTGAATGTAACTTTTTTCAGCATATGCAAAATGGTGAGCACAACCCGGATCTGAAATAATAATTAGATAATTTTTAAGCAATTGTTTTGAAAACCTGACCTTGAGAAGAAAGCATAGATCTGCGCTAGCCTAGTATAACTTTTGTCCTAATGTTTCGTGCTAGCCCCGGGTACTAACCAAAAACTTCACTTTCCCAGCTTTGTAAAAAAAAAGCTCGAATTAAGGGTTGTCGCTATGATTCGGCGAAGTTTCCGATTGCTCTTTAATCGGACTCGAATAGTTTTTGGTAAAATAAACAATGGCAAAACTATGAGGTTTAGGCTGATAATGTCAGAATGAGTTGTTTTTTTAATTAGTAAGACCAATTTGCGTATGGCCTCGTTTCTTTTGGAACAATTTCTTAGTTTCGCGATATACATTTTAGACGAGCATTTTAGACTGATTTGTCACAGGACACTAATGTGATGTGCACACTCAGCGGCGACCATGCAAATCAATTGATTAATCCCCTGAATGAGCAAAAAGGTATGTGAAATTGGTCTGAATAATAATACAAGCCAACCCGAATATATATATTCTTCACTTTTTTCAAAAGTCGGAATAAAAACCTTATCAGCACTCGAGTATTAAAGAATTTTTATCTAAAAATGATTTATTAATGTTAGGCAAAATCACCATGTGCAACAAAGCTCATTTGATTCTTGCCTGGCGAAACAAAAAATGGATTGATTTTTTTTGCGATTTGAGCAAGTTTTTTTTCTGCTATTTTTGCATCATCTTCTCCTGGCATCAGTAGCAGACTTAGCGAGGGATGACTGACGTTTTTATAGAATTTTTACTCTTAACAACCCAATAAGTCTCGCCGCTTGTTACTTTTTACGACATCCCACTTTGACTGACGGAATCCAAATTTTTCTAAAAGCGCTTTGGGTGTCAATATACACTAAATTTGAGGCAGAAGCGCGCAAAATAACAACCTTGTTTCAAAACACACGTTCCAAATTTGCCTAAAAATGTCCTTTTTGGCCTGCGTTTTCATAAATTGCCTGTAGCGCAGACAGTTATTGCAAAATAAGTCGTTCATGGTTTTTTGTGAGAGCTAGAAAACCTGACCTCGAGAAAATTTAGATCTGCGCTAGCCCAGTATATTTTTATTCTATTTGTTGTTGTAATTTTTTCGAATTTTGATGAATTTGTCGAAACATTTGTACTCGGGGTGGTATTTTTTATCTCCAGTCAAATTTCGACTTGAAACTTGCAAGTTTTAAAGGTAATTGTTATATAACTCAAAAATTTTTGTACTCTAGAGCTCAAAAGAAAAAATTTTTTTTATGCGAGACCCATTTTGTAAATTTAGCAAGTTTGGGATCATTAAAGCGCAATATATTTCGTACTATCAACACGAAAGCAGAGATTTAATCTGCTTTAAAGATTGTTCCAAACGAAATTGAGCATGCTATTTAGTTTAAATAATACTTGGCTTATTCCGAATTATATCACTCTTACTTAACATAGAGGGTGAAAGATAATGTTTAAAAGAGTCTCAAAAAATGTGAAGTTTTTTCTTTTTTAAAAAAATATATTCATCCATTCTCCGTAGATTTTTTAAAGGCGGTCGGATCATTAAGGTTTCCCTGATGCCAGCAGCAGTCTTGTTGTTTTGAATTCGAATAAAGTAGGGAAAATATATACTATTCTAATCCATCAAACGTGGGCAGTAGAACTAGGCTAATTTCAACCTGCTTTTTAAAAATTTGATGGTGAAATTGTAAAGCGTAATATTTAGGCGTGGCGAACTTTCCAGCACTACAAAATTATTCCAAATTCAATTGAGGCACGCTAATTTTGTCTGTTTATACCATACAAGGCGCGACGCAATTTTCAATACTTAAAAATTGAGATGATCACCCTATAAGTTATAGTTTTCTCAATGTTTTGTTTTACTCAAAAACTATTCGAGACCAGTTAAAGGGCAATCGGAACATTCAGGGCTGTGCCCTGGTACGAACAGTCTTGTTCTTGTGTATACTAGATTTTATGGGAGCTCTGAACTAACAAATCAAGATAAAAGATTCTGATCATCATCAAAGTTCAAAATAATTGAAGCCAATCCGAACCAGAAAAAAATAGTCTAGTTACCAAAACCTACATAGCCCAGTCCTAAGAACATTTTGTAATTAATTGAAAACAAAAATTCAAAAAAAAACTTAAATTAAATGAACAATTGTCCTACCTAGGAAAAAATGTTGGACGCGAAAACTATTTTTCAGACATAATTCATGACATTGAAAATTAATTGATGACACTTAAATAGCATGCAAAGTTCAGTCAAAAAATCAAAAAATTGCTCTTTTTAATTGGTTCTGTTTTTTCGGTAATTTGGTAAACAGAAAACAGCAGTACTTATACGCTGTTTAACAAAGATAAAGTTTCCTTGTTTCTGCAGTTGGAAATCCAAATAAAAAATTAGATGTTTTGCTAACAATCAGTCTTTTTGTTTAAAAACCCCTCAGCGATAAAAAATAAAATGGAAAATTTTACTAAAAAATTGTACTGATTTTACTTGAATTGCAGGGCAGATATCGCGAACGTTAAATCAAGCCAGAAAAATGCAAAATAAAAAACGAATTCAACAATTAAATTGCATTTGGCATCCTTTTTATAAAATTTAAGCGCAAAAATTGGTGAAAGTTGGAGCGAAAAGGATTAAACGTCAGTTTGAGGATCAATTAATTAGAAATGCTTCGTTTTTAACTTCCCATAAAAATATAGTGCAATTTCTATTAACAGTTTCCCAATTTTGTGATAAAAATGTTAATTTCAAATTTTATCGCTTTTGGGGTATAGCTGAAAAGACCCAGAAAAGAAAATGATAATAGAAAAACATTAAAATAGTAACCTTAGAGAAGATTTTCAAATTCTTCAGAAGTTAATATCTCAATTTGGTCAGGCAGGAAAAGAAATAAAGAACTACGAAGAGGCTGATTAAAATAAATGATAACGTTCGATGAAAAAATAATAAAATAAATGAAAAAGTTCCGACAAAAAAATAATAAAATAAATGATTAAGTTCCAATAAAAAATAAACAAAAGAAGGAGATAACCAAATATAGTTCACATCGAAAAATTAAATGAATCATTACAAATCGAGAAAGCAAACTGTTATCAGTTCTTCACAAAGCTCAATTTAGGGTCGAATTTGGTCTGATAATAAACATCACTACTTAAGGGTTAGACTCGATCAAACTTTAATTCAACCTAAATGAGATAGACTTAGCTATGCATAGAAACAGTGTCTCTATGCATAGAAATGAAACTAGGTCTCTTACACCACTGAGTAACGCAAGTAAATGGTCAGACGCTTTAGTGAGGTTACAAAAGTTTTTATATCCAAAGCATGTGTGTTAGTCTGATATACTATACAAAGTTTGGTTTAGCAAATCTGAAACCAAAAATCAATACAGTTGAAATTAAATGGCTAATCAATGCATCAAGTTCGGCAAAAAAATAACTAAGATTGAATTAAATAAGACCAAAATGCAAAATGCCTTTTTAGACGTTTTTCGTAGTTCTTGATTTCAAATGTTTCCTTACAAAATGAAAATAATAAATTCTTAAAAAGAAAACTTACGTTCGTCAAAACATGGGTTTTCATTAAGTTCAAAATTCCCAATGATATAGCTTTCTTTTAAATTATTTTTGACAAAAATCAGCTCTCTGTATTCGTGCGTTCTGCATAGAAACCAAGCCGGAATTCATTACTACAATCTGAACTTTGTGGGAAACGGCAATTTGAAAGACGTTTGCCGTCATATTTTTTCTTTGATTTTGAGTTCCAGGCATTACATCCTTGAACTTGGTTTTAAAATTATGCCACAAACAAAAAAATTAATCGCCAAAAAAGGTCCGAATAAAAACAAACCCCAAACATATTCAACTCTTTTGGATCTGCGTAACTAATTCGGGATCTGTTTGATTATTTTTTTCTCAACGCAAAAGGAGGAACTTCTTTACTGAAAAAAATTCGTATTTGCTTATCGTTAAATCAATCCTTGATATGGATGGATATTTTTGATACGTACTATAAAGGGGGTACCCCTAACTGTCTTCCAATTTATAAGAAACGTAACTAATCGTATATCAGGGCGAAGCCCTGCATGTTCCAACTGAGCTTTCAGGTCAATTTAAAAACTTTTGGTTGAAAAGCTGACAAATTGCCGAAAAATGACCAATTTTTCCAATTTTTTCCAATTTATCCCACCAGAAGCTTATGTAACAATGCCCCCCACACGTTTTATGAGGACGTAGTAAATGCGCGTTAATTATCGTTAAATATCCCAAGTTGGCCAAAGTAGCAACTTTGAAACCCCGTAACACTACAAAAATTTTCACAGCTAAATTAACTTGACTGAATAAAAAACATCTCAAGCATAAATTTTCCACACTTGCTTTGAAAGTCGGAGGAACAACTCGTCATCGGCGCAATTTATCGAAAACTGACTCGTCATCGCGAAGTATTGACTAATCAACCAACTTACGTACAACTTCTATAACTCAGGGAACATAATGTGAGTTTCAAAATGAAATGTCATTTCTAGATGAAATATCCTGCGAAATTCATGTTTGGGCCAATTTTTTATTGAATCAATTTTCGAATTTCAATTCAGGAATTTTGATGGAAAGTTGATAACATCTGAAAGATATTGTTTTCCAGGGGTTTGAAAATTTCGAATTGGGCCAAAATGGGATAATCAACGCGCAAAATATCGCATTCTTAAACCACGCGTAAGCAGCAAGCTTACGCATTCCAAAATGAATCGAGGCAAGATATTTGGTTTGGTGAGTCACTATTTTATTAGACGCTAAATGCATTCTTTTGTAGTTTAGATTAGAGTGTGAGAGACAAACTGCAGAAAAATGGAATTTAAAAAAAAATTATTTCGTCAATTTAGCAACCAAAAAACTTTGTAAATGGTCTGAAAGCGCAATCAGAATATTCAATGCTTTGCCTTGTTATACAAGCAATCTAGTTATTTTCTAAGCTTTTTTGAAGATTACCAAGTACTTAGTATAGTGCATAGCCCAAAGTTACCAGCAATAAGAAATTCTGAAAAAATGCATTATTACTCATAAGCAGCAATTATCATCGGAGTGAGTATAGTGATATATAATAAGATCTTTCAGGCGAAATTCAAAATTCAAATGACTATGAAAAATTCCCGAAAAGTTATCACATTGTAGAGAAAACCGGTACAAAATTTTTGGTTTTTATTCTAATTTTAAGCAAGCAAAGCGAGCAATTATGTCTTATATAAAGAAAAAAAGCTTTTACTTCAAGAGATGAAATTTAATTTGCCTAGTTATTGAAACTTCACCCAGCGCGTCCTTTGTAAAAAAAAATTTCTAAAAAATTTCAAAAAATTCAACGCATATATTGAAAATATTTTTGATATTTGATATTTGATTCGACTACTTTCGAACAAAGTCGCAGTATATTTGTGCTCGGTTTGTTTTTTCTCCGGATCAATTTCGATTTCTTAGCTAGTCATTTTTGGCGGAACATTGTATACCATCTGAAAGGTATTGTTGTAATGAGCTCAAATTTAACAAGCTATTTCACCTGTGATCATTTGTCGACAATTAACGCGCGATCCTTTTTGTGCTGTTCACGCGTTAGCGGCTATTTAATATGCTCAGAAAACATTCCAAATTGAATTGAAGCAGGATCTTTGGTGTCATTTATATCTTACTATATTTTAAAAAGACTTCTCGCTTATCAGGGCAAAGCCCCGAATGTTTTGACTGCCCCTTAAATGGTTAGGAATAGTTGTCGTACAAACTTTTTTAATAAACGACAACTTTTGTACTGCCAATACCAAATGCAAGTGCTGGCCTTTAAATAGAACATTTCAATTATAATTGGAATTATTTCAGTTTAGAACGATTAAGAATGAGGATAATTTACTACTCATCAAAAACTAGCGTATTGAAACAATCAAATGCTATTCGAGCAGCGAAGCCGTCCACATTCTAGTCTAGTGCAAGCCGACTTGCATAGCAACCCACAAATTTCTGGATCAATACGCATACGCTGTCAACTTTTGTAATATGGGTCTGAACAAAGGGTCTCAAAAGTAATATGGGTCTCAAAAGTCGGAACAAAAATATCACTTTTTACTTTAAATTGAAATTGTACTTGTAATGAAAATTGAACACAAATCATTAAAAGTTAAAGGGCAGTCAAACTATTTGCCCCAATACAAGTGTTTTTATTTGTTTGTTATTTGTTGCTCCGAACATTGAAAATGGGAAGGAAATTTGTATACGGGTGTGTTTTAGTTTTTTCTCTTTTTTGTTTTGTTTTGTTTTCGACGCAAAATTAGGTACCACAAATAATCATTGCCAGTATGGGACGCGGGAATTATCTTGTTAAAACATTTTCACTCATGATTCAAACAACATTTATAACTTTTCTCATTTTTGGGAAAAAGCCGTTTGAATTTTTTGATTTTTGGTCTAACTTCGAGCGAATAAGGTGAGTGAACAGGCTCTTTTTATAGAACGATAAATCATAAAATTTAAGTTAAACTAGTTTTTGAAGTTCCTCCAGCGCCATTTTTGGAACAAAAAACTTCAAAAATTCAAAATAACTTCTGCAAAAAAAGAAGGATTTTCGGAGCACTTTCTCTGAAACCGGCTATCCTTGATCAATTTTTTTAGAGTTTTTTCCAAGATAAACTCAATGACTCATGTTTTTGGAAATTGAAGTTTGAACATTTTGCAATTATTTGTATTGTTCATTTTAAAAATGCTTTCCGCTGTCGCGCCAATTATTTTTTCATCTCTATGTTTAAAATGGGTAATAGTCCCGAAGGGAATTCATCTGGTTGTTGATGCAAATTTAAATGCTTTGTTGTGAGATTAATCACCGGTGCCCAAATACACAATTAGTCGAAGACGAATAGGAGGCTATTTTAATGTCTTTTTCTGCTGCTGAAAAACAAGATTAATATCCTTTCTCATCAGGAAACGCGACTGGGCAACAAGGTACAACTTATTTCCACAGAGCATAAAGGACGCCAAAAACATTAAACTACCTTTTCCAATCATTTTCTTATTTCTGTCAAACTCAAGTACCAAAACCATTGAAACTCTCAATCAATTTGAAAGGTAAGTTTTCATTCTTTTATTTGACTTTTTTTCTTCTTTATTTTAAAAAAATAATCTACAACTTAAACACTAAAAAATTTCGAGTGTTTTTTGAGGCATTTTTTGCGGTATTTCAGACCAGCTATTGCAAACTCTCAAGTATGCGCAATTTGACAATTTTACTATCATCTTCGAATTTTTTTTAAAAGAAAAGCCCCTTTTTATAACATATTCTTTAAGAGCTTTATTTTGTAAGAAGTTGTAAGGTTGGCAAAATAAAATTCTAAGAAAAAGTGTTTTGGCAACCCCGGGTAGCCGAAATTTGGGAAAAACTAAATTATGTCAGTATAATTTGTCATCTATAATTACAATTTGTGATAAAGTTTTGGTAGTTACTTGACCTTAAATCAATTTTTGTCACGTATCGTCTAATTCGAAAACTTATCGCAAGATAAAAGTCATTTGGGAAGTGTTTATCTGTTTATCTTAATCTAAGTTCCTTCACAAGCTTTTGACTTTTCAGTCTCCGCAGATTTAATTATCTTAAAGTTCAATCATCAGTTTCAAACCTGAACTACATTTGCCAACATTTGACAACTAAAAAAAAACAACAAAATGGGCGCAGATGAGGCACATCGCAAAAAAAACAACAAAAACAACAGCAACCGAATTCTTCTGTGTGCAATTGGAATTCTAAGTGTTGTGCTTGCGGTATCAGTGGCAGGTCAAATATTTCACTGGGTCACATTCATGTCGGCCGCAGCAGAAATCAAAGAGTAAGTTTCTTCAATTTTCAAGTTTTCATGGTTAAGTTTTCAATGTTACGCCCCCCCCCTCAGGAACTAGACCCCTTCACCAACCAAAGGGTCCCCATTTTGGTATTATTTTATGACATCCATTTTAGGCCGACTAACCCCAAATTTTTTTAAGGTCGCCTTTGGCACCAATTTATACTAATTTTGGAGGGGAGAGCGCACGGAAAAACGCAATTTTTGGTCAAAAATTTCTAAAAAGTGCCCAAACTCGACTTTTTTGTCCTGTTTTTTTTCAAAACTTACCTGCGGCGCAAATTTTTACGTCGAAATAGAGTCTTAATAGTGTTCTTGGAGTGCTCGGAAAATCATTTTAGTCGATCTACAAAAAAGGTAGACTAATTTTAATTTAATTTTAATTTAATTTTAATTTAACGAAAAATTGATTAAAAATGTATGACTAGGATCTTTCCGTAAATGGAATTGTATGACCAGTATTTTTCAATGATTTAAAATTCTTGATTTTTTTCTTGCATAAAATTTTGTGTTATTTCTAGGATAAGAATCAAGAGTGTGTTTAAGCAAAAATACCGATAAAATAAGCGACAAAAATCTCAGAAATTTGATTAAAGCGCACAGGAGATTTGCTATCAAAAATCATTTATTGAGTTTAAACTTGATTGTAACAATACAAAAATATTTTTGTATTTGGCTAAAAAGTTTGATTTTTTAAAAATTTCAGTGAAAGAAAACTGTCTTTATTTTACACATGTGGAGTTATATTATTGAATAGAATAAAAATGAATCGAAGGAAAAAATCTTAGAAACCGAATTTGATTTAAGATCACAGGAGATTCGCTATCAGAAATCATTTATTGAGTTCATACATGATTGTAAAGAAACAAAAATATTTTTGTATTTTGCTAAAAAATTTCAATTTTACGAAATTCAGTGAAAGAAAACTGTTTATTTACAGTCTTGGAGTTATGTCATTGAATAAAATAAAAATGAATCGATAGAGTTAAAAAAATCTCAGAAACCAATTTTGATTAAAGCACACAAGAGATTTGCTATCAAAACTTGCCAGTTTTACCCGACTTTGAAGATGTTATAATCAGTTATGCTTCCATTGAAAAGACGACACGTTCTTTCCAGGGCAGTTCGGGAGCTTCGGGAACAGATTTTGAGCATTAGCCGACGGTTTTATTACGTCATGGGGCTCAAAGTTCACACTTGAGAGACGAAGTTGCAACACTCGCCACAAAAATGTGCAATCAAATCCTACCATGGTCGAAAGTGCGGGCACTGGTTTCTGGAAGATTGATTGCGCTTGATAAATGTCCTGGCGTGCGACCTTTTGGCATAGGCGAATGTCTACGGAGAATATTTTGCAAAAGTGTGGCTGAGTTCCACAAAAATTGACCTTGAAGAAACATGTTCGACTGATCAATTACCTTGTGGGCTGAAAGCTGGCATTGAAGGTGCAATTCATGCGCTCTCTGATGTTTTTGATGACAACAAGGAAGATGGCTGTGGCATGCTGTTTATAGATGCATCAAATGCTTTCAACTCGCTCAATCGTGAAACAGCGTTGTGGTATGCTCGAATATTGTGGCCTATATGTTCTAGATTTCTCTTCAATACTTACAAAGGCTTCGCGTCGCTTTTCGTTGCTGGCGCCGATGAAGTGATATACAGTAGGGAAGGAACAACACAGGGAGACCCACTGGCAATGTTCTTCTATGGTGTTTCACTTCTTCCCCTGATTCGGAAGTTAAAGGATCCGAACAATGTGTTACAAAGTTGGTATGCTGATGATTCTGCGGCCATAGCAAAACTCAAAAAATTGGAGATATTGCTCAAAAATTTGATTGAGGAAGGTCCCGCCTTCGGTTACTTTCCAGAGCCTTCCAAAAAATTTCTGATTGTCGATAAACAATATGCTGAAGAAGCGCATCACATATTTGACAAGTACTCGATTACTATTGTGGAAGAGAAGAGGTTTTTGGGCTGTTTCATTGGAGACGGAAATGAGAAGGACATCTACCTGAAACAGAAAGATTTTGAATGGGTAGACAAAACTGAGAAACTTTCTTTTGTGGCAAAAACAGAACCACAATGTGCTTTATCAGGACTGACTAAGTCTCTACAAGCGGAATTGAATTTTTCCTATCGTGTTTTGGGTGGTTCTAGTCAGCTTTTTCAACCGCTAGAGAACCTTCTGATGGAGAAATTCTTACATGCGATACTTGGATATTCGTCGATTTCATCAATGGATAGAAGTATTTTTTGTTTGCCAGCAAGAAAGGGTGGTCTTGGAGTGTCTAACCCAACCAGTTTCGCTGATGAGTCTTACAACACGTCACGGGAAGCAGTTACTGTTCTGTATGATGCTATTGTTGATCAGCACGGTTTTTCCCATGAAGACCACAGAAAGCAAATGTCTCGATCGCGGAAAAAACATCATCAAATAATGGAAGAACAACATGAAGAGTTGTTGGGGGATTTATTGAATGAGCTACCAGCAGACCAAATTCGCGCAGTAAAAAGGATCAATGAAGGAAGCTTGTCTGCATGGCTGACAGCGTTACTGATTGCTGCAGAAAACTTTGATCTTTCGGAAGTGGAATTTTGAGATGCATTGAGTGTCCAGTTTAACAAAAACTTGAACTCTTCGCCAACTTTTTGTGATGGTTGTCAGTCATCATTCACCCTACGGCATGCGTTAGCGTGCGTGCAAAAAAGGTGGTCTCTTAACTTTACGGCACAATGAGATTAGGGATGCTGTAGGCGACTTAGCTTCTTTAGTGTGGAAAGATGTACAGAGAGAGCTGGTTATTAAAGAATACAACCCGCAAGATGAGACACCCGCATTAATTCCAGGTTTGTTTTGTCGTGGAGTTTTTGTTAGACAGGGAGGAGCGTCTTTTGATATTCGCGTCTCTGACACCGACGCCACTCCTATCAGAACAGAAGCCCCATGAGTGTTTTGCACTCAGCAGAGGTTGAGAAAAAGACAAAATATTCAGACGCGTGTCAGGAAAGACATATGTCTTTCACTCCTCTTGTCGTGTCTGTTGATGAGATGCTCGCTCCAGAATTTGCAAATTTCCTTCGGAGAATAGGAGAGGCTTTATCTACCAAGTGGGAGAAACCCTATAATAAAACTATGAACTGGGTGAAGTGCCGGCTGTCTTTTGCCGTGCTCCGTGCTTCCAGTGTGTGCTTCCGAGGCACAAGGACCAAGTGGAGGAGTCTTGGCTCAGACCATGATTTCTTACCCTAGAGAAATATTTATGGATGTTCTACGATGAAGAGAAATTGGCTAGCTATGTGCAAATTCTGCTAGTAATGTAAAACGTGGACCTAAACGAAACAAAAATGTTGAAAAAATGAACCAAATAAATAATTGACTGATTTAATTTAAAAAAAATTATGGAGTTCATACATGATTGTAAAGTAATAAAAAACTTTTTGTATTTGGCCAAAAAGTTTCTCGTTTAAGAATTTCAGTTAAGGGAAACTGTTTTTTTGACAGTCTTGAAGTTATGTTTTTGAATAAAATAAAATTGAATCGATGGAGGCTAAGCCGGACAAGTACTGTTGTTTTATCGTTTGTAAAAGACGCCTCCAAGACAACTCAGGTCATTTTCTATGCATTATGAATGCAAGGCCAGTCCAACCTTTGGTGCTTTGAGTGAGTAAACTAAGGTGTTTGTCACTTGAGTTCGGTTACAAACAAAACCAAAAACTTTGCAGAAATTAATTTTAGAAAAAAAAATCTAATTTTTTGTTTATGGAAAAATTTTTATCATATAATTTTCATATATGGAAAAAATGCTTGTCATAGAGATTTCATACAATTTTCTGTACGTATGGAATTGTATAAAAATTTATGGTTAAAGTTTTTCATACATGGAAATTGTATGATAAAAAGTTTTGGTCAACCCGGGAGTACAGTTCGGGGTATCAGAAAATTTAACTGCTTAATTCGGGAGAAAATCCTAGAGAAACAACTACATCAAACTCACTACGAACTGACGGATGGATGGAATTGGCATCATCATCAAAATATAATAAATTTATAAATTATAAATTTTACCCATTTCATATCTGGCATCCCTCTTCTGGTACTATTTTTTGGCATCAATTTTTGACCGATTATTTTGAATATTTTGCGAGGTAACCTTCTTTAAAAAAATACGCAACTTTTTAAATGAAAGATTCCAAAAAATCTTAATTACGTCGTTTTGGGCAGCGAACAGAAAATTTTGTCAAACAGAAATTTTTGTTAAACATTTTGAGAGAGCTTGGAAAATTAAACTATTTGACCTATAAAAAAGTCAATCATCACAAATTTATTTAAAAGCCAACTTTCCCGTCATCTATTGGTACCGTACAGGAGACTTAAATGAACAACGCCATATTAATCTCATTATCTCCTAAACTGACGGTTGGATCGTTTTGGCTTCATTTCATTTTTGCAGAGGTTGTTTTCATGCTTTTTTTTCAGTAATCTTCATGTATAATTTTTGTTTTTGCTAGTTGCTATATTCCAAATTAAAAAACTGATTGAATAAATGGTTCATTACAAATGAAAATGATGGTTGTAAAAATAATGATTATCTAATTGTTAACTTGAAGTTCAGTAGTGAATAGTTTTTTGGGATCTCTTTAACATTCCCCCCATTCGCAAAGGGGGGAATTTTTTACCAGGTACAAAATTTACATATATTTAACCCTTGAATTATTTCTTTTTAGGGGTGGCGATTCGTTACTGGATACCCTAGGAGGGATAGCAAAAGAGATCCTTTTTTGTTTCAGGGGTTTCAATGATGTCAAGGCAGCTTTCGTAACAGTTCACATGGCTTTGGCTCAGCTTGGATGTAAGTAATTAAATTCAAAATAATTTCCGGATAGTAGCGAGAAAAACTGAGAAAAATATCATGTTGTATGCTCAAAGATAAGTGAATGATTCAAAAATTGAAAATAGTTAAAATAAAACTTCGAAAAAAAATCGAGCTATGAACATTCCGTGCTTTTTTCAGAAAAAGGATGCGGATTTCAAAAAAAATTGACGGAATTTTTAAGCGCGGTTTGGTTTTTTATATCTAGCAACTTATGATGAATTTTTATATCCTATTGTTAACCTGAGCTAGAACTTGAAAAAATATATTTACATGTTTCCTGAGATTGTTTTTCGTAAAGTTATGGGGGTTGAAAATTTTCAATTTAGCTAAATTGGGACAAGTAAAGTGCGATATATTTCGAGCTTTCAACAGGGTAGCGGAGATTTAATCCGTCCTAGAAATGTTTCCAATTTCAATTGAGGCAAGCTACTTAATACAATAATATTTTGCTACATGCGAAAACTATCACTTTGTATTTTACAAAGCGTGTGGGGGATGGGGGATGGCTTAACAAAAAATCATCTCATTTTAGATCGAACTCCATTGATAGAGTTGAAAGGCAGTCTGAATATTTGGGGCTTTTTGCACACAACTATCTTTTTTCAATTTGACTTCAAGTACCGGAGCAATCATAGCAGCTGTGTGCGGAAATTTTGGTTTTGCCAGCAAAGCAAGGTTTTGGAGATTTAAAATTTGGTTTACGCGTTCAACATCATATATAAACTCTGAAAAACTCGCAAAAATTAGACTGACCATCAGTTCAAACTTACATTTTTTGAAAGCCCAGGAATTGGGTTGAAAAATTCAGGTGAATCAACTTAAAAAATTTGATCTCGTTGGAATATGGAAAAATGTCGAAAAAAAATAAACACGCCGAGCTAAAAAAAAAAACTATTCGATATGAATTAAGCGACAGTCGGAACATTCAGAGTTTCACCCTGATACGAGCAGTCTTGTTTTAGTTTGTATTCAATCAAAAGTCTGATTCACATTATGGCATCTGTTTTAGATAATGCATCTGCAGTGGCCGCCCCTGAGGCTGCTTCAACCAGTGTGCAACCACCTGAATAATCATACACAACACGAAGAACCATATATTCAGTTCTAGTGACAAAATTCAATTAGATATAGTGATAAAGATAGCTACTTTTCTATTACAAGGCCCAAAATGTTTTCCGCTAGAATCAATTTCCCACCAAACAGGTGCGAGCGAGCATTATGAATCAGTTTTTTTTAGTTTAAAAACAAGGTTCATTTTGGGCCGTGAAACAGAAAAGATCCGAAATTTTTGTCATAACAATCATGAGATTTGACACAATTTTCGAATCAATCAGATCTTCTACTCTAACAACCATACCCTCAACGGAAAACAGCATATGAAAATTGCTTCGTGAGCTTTTCATTAAGTACATGAACAAAAATATGGGTGGTTTTGAAAGACATTGAAGTAGCCACTAAAACATTCTTTCAATGAACTTTCGCGTCTAAAGGCAGATTACTTAGTAGTAAAAACAATTTATTAGAGATATGTTAGCATGTTCTTTCTTACCTGTATTGATAATGCCTGTATCAGATACAAAATAACCCTTCTTTTGTAAATTTATTCTTCGGAAAATAATTAAGTTAATTTTTATCACAATTTTTACGCAATTTTTTTAGTTAATGAGGGATCATCGCGGTTCTTTAAGAAATACAGCGCCGGCTTTTCGACTCGAATAAAGCTCGACTCGACTAGTATAAGAATTTCAAAATAAAAAAACCTGTAACCTATAGAAACTATAGAAAAGTCATGTAAGCTTTGGATATCATCATACTGGGCTTGCTTTGTGAAAGTTCTTGCAATTTTGAATAACTGATAAAAGCTTATTACCAGCAATTTTTTTCATTTTTTATTTCGAATATGTTTTTACGAGAAAATCCTAGATCCGTCTCTGGGTGTTATTATGACAAAAATTATTATTTTTTGAATTTTTTTATTACTGTGATTGTTTTTTATCATTATCTTGATTCTTAATATTATGATTTTTATGGTTGTTTTCAATTTATTTTTTAAACTTTTTAAATATAATTTTTGGGGACTTTTCAAAAAAAAGCAGCAATACAATGTAAGCTAGCTGATAGTTTTTAGAACTGTCACAATTTTATGCGGCTCAAGCTTAACTCTAGCTAGCGGTCGTCAATAGCATCTACGACTTTTTTGTATCACCGCTTAAGATGACGCTCAAAAACCGCGTTTTTCTCTTTGCAATTAGATTCAAACCGTGTAAACAGATCAAAAAGGGTTCAATCAATATCTTTTTTTGAAATATATACTTGAGTGCCGTGCTTTTTGTACGCCATTTAAAACCAACCCTAAAAATAAGTTAACTTCGAATCTACCCGCAGCAAATTATGAAAATAACGCAAGAGTGAAACACTAAATTATCTAGACTGTAAATTGCGATTGTTAAAAAGGAATACGTTTCTGTAAAAATTCAAAACTAATAAAAATGTTTGAAAAAGTCGATCAAAAACTTGTTCAAACGCTCATTTTTAAGCAAATGTATGAGTTTGATCCGGTTTAAAAAACCCTCAAATTGTTCAATGTTTGCTTGAAATTGGAGAAAAAACTCCAATCGGAAATTTATAGAATGATTTGGCGAGACGGCCGTGTGTTAACTACCCGCATCCAGTTTCAAACGTTAATAATCGATGTTATTATGATTTTAGCACCAGTCTAATTAAAATTGAAAAAAAAATTTTTAAATTATTATATAATTGATTATAATCTCTTTTTAAAATCAAATTATTATCAATTACAATATATTTTAATCAAAACTAACCGCTTATTTCTCCGTCTGTTTTCCGAGTCAATTATAATCGATGATTTTTATCCGTATTTCTAATTCGTTTGTTTTGCAGACAAATCCATTATAATTCATTATGGTCGATTATAATCTTTTTTTCTTTTTTGTCTTCAACCTTACATCTGCGTTGCTTCAAATTTATGCTTTTCGTACACGTTGCTTTATGGGAAAAATGGGAAAAAAATGTTTTAACCGTTTTCAAATCAATTCAAAATTATAGCGTTTTTAATTTGTCATTCCTTCACGTCTTCAGTTGTTTCAAGATGCATATTTAAAGTTTTGTACCACCAAAAAATCAACACATTGCTTTAGTTTCATAATTTTTTGGAAGAGTTATTTTTACCTACCGCGGAAATTTTCAACTAACATCAATTGATCTCTATGAAACTTTTTTTCGTGGTAAAACTTTGTGTTCAGATGGATGAACCAAAGTGTGACTAGACATCTCACTTTCAGAGATTTTTGACAGAAAAAGGGATTATAATCGATTTTAATAGATTATAATAGATTAAAAGAGATTGTAGATTACAAGAGATTTTCAGAAAAATTGAAATCACTTATAATTGATTATATTTTATTATTTTGTCATGAAAAATTTTATCCTTATAATGGATTATAAATTTGGCGCCCATAATAAATTATAATTTTGCTGAAAATACAATAATAATTATAATATAATCGATTATTTTCTCGTTTTACTGAGTGCGTGTACCTGGATTGAGGTCTGTGAAAAGTTGTCAGATTCTGATAGGCGCTTCGGTGGTATTTAGTCGCGATAAGCTGGAAACTAGTCGCAATAATCTGAATCTGGTCATAGGTTGCGGACTAAGAAGCTTACTTTGAGTCGAACAAGTTCTCAGAGGGGATATTTTGGTGATGTATTACAATAGGTGGTAGATAATTTTCAATAGCTGGATCGCTTTTTGTTTTCGCACATTATTTCTAATTTTTTCAGAAGCCAAACATTTAGGCAAAAGTAGTAGAAAATTTGAATTTTGGTATATCATTTCATTTGGCAGAGTAATCTATTTGGAAAACTTATCTTAGAAGCTGTAAAAATGATTGAAAATGAAACGACTATATAATGCACTATAGTTCTGAAACTTGATTCTTGCACTATAATCAAAAATGCCACCTATTGTAACAATTGATGTCCAGATTACAATCTGTTGTTTATTTGGTACCAGTTGAAAAAAGTTCAAATTTCAAGAAGGGACACATTTGTTATACTCAATTACGTTTTGATCTATTCTCGCACCCAACGGATTTTCTATACACGATCTGAAATTCTTTATTGTTCCGACTTTCGATACGAAAGTAACGGAATATTTGTGCTCGGGGTGGGTTTTTTTTCTTCAGACAAATTTTGACTTTTTAACTAGCCATTTTTGACGGAATTTTTTTATATCATTCAAAAGGTATTGTTGTCCCGAGCTTAAATTTGAAAAGATATTTTACCTGTGATCATTTTTCGTAAAGTTACGGGGGTTTAAAGATTGCCATTTTGGCCAATTTGAGACAATTAACTCGCGATATATTTCGCGCTATTAGCGCGTAAGCGGAGAGTTAATCCGTCTTAGAGATCGTTCCAAATTGGTTAAAATAAGCTTATTCGCCATAATGGTTTGTTACTAGGAGTGACATCTATCCTTTTGTACTTTTAATGGCGTATGGGGTGATGATTTTCATAAAAAATTTCAAATTTCAGAAATTTTTTTTTATTTTGTTTTATTTCTTTGAATTTTTAAATGTTATTACTGCTCCATAAACCTTAAAAGGCAGTCGGAACATTCAGGGCTTCGCCCTGATACGAGCAGTCTTGTTTCTTTTATAGACAGATTCTCAGATCTGAAGTTCGTTATTCCAAATCTTGATAAGAATTTGAAGTTTTTGAACAGTGTTTTTTTTTCAAACTAAACTTCTTGTTCAACTGTTATAAAAAGTTTTCAATACTTATGAGAAGACCTATCAACTTTTCATTTTCATGCGCTACTTATGCATTTCCGATGTTAATTTCAAAATTTGGGAACCATATTTCAGCAGTCTCTGATTGGAAACTTTGCTGAGTACCTGCTAGCAGCTAGCAAAAGCTATAAAATACAGAAGAATAGCAAAATTTAAGTCAGAATCATTGGACCAAGTAGAACAGCAGACCAAGGAAAACAACATTTTTGAAATCTGTTTTTTTTTCAAATCTGAAATAACCAAAGAATAAATTAAAAAATCAGATCTTTTTTGGATAAAAAAACCCATTTTTAAAGTATCCAAGCGTTATTTCTACGTTTCACAACCTATTTTAGAACTAAAATCCAGATCTGAAACAGATTATTTAAGCCCTTAATTAGAAATACTGGGTGCGTGTTGTGTAGTAAATCTCAATGAATCACTACCGTACATTGATTCCATAAGGTCAAAAAAGTTGCACGGGTCGTGGTTGTCGTTTTTCAACGGCTTCGATTGCACACGCATCTCTTCAGTTATCAAAATCTTAAAAGACGAACTTCGGTCGCGACACTTTGAAGACACCTAAATTTCGTCGCAACAAAGTTCATCTCTATGGAATGATCATAAAACCGCAACTAATGCTCAAGTATATTTTGACATAAGATTCTAATATTTTATTTCTAGTGTCACGAAAAAAACATCCCAATTTGAAAGCGAAAAAACCTTTTTAAATTTTGTTTTCATTTTTTTGTTATTCATTTTTTGAAAAATTTTTCGTGGTCGATTAACTCTATTTCGCAAACTTCCCGTGCCTTTCCCTAGTTTTCTCAAAACCACGCATAAAACCGATACTAGTTAAAAGAAAAAAAAAACGTTTGCTTTAGGTCGGAAACTTCTGTGCTTACTGCACAGAAACCGTTTATCCCTGTTACATTTATACGAATTCCTAAGAACAAATTTTATGCTTTGACAGCAAAAATGGCAAATATGTGGCCAAAAACATCCAAAAAAAATTTGCTTCTGTTGTATCCCGAGTATTGTTAATAAATTACCTCAAGCAATCATAGATGATTTTATTTGCAAATTTAAAAAAGCAAATTCCCGTCAAAAAACAACATGTTGGAAACTCAATGCTCACTTATCTTTCATATCCTAAAAAAATTTGAACGTATCCTTTTCTAATTCTTTTTACAGAGCAACATTCTTTTCTTTTTAAATACGTGTTTTTGCCTGACGATGTACAAACCTTTGCAGAAACTGTAAAATGAAAAGTCAAAAAAATTTTGCTAATCAAGAAAAGGATCGCATACAGGTGAACCAATTCATATATTTTCTAAAATCTTCATAATAACTCGTCGACGTTAAATGAGTTTTTTTCCAATAATTATCGCGCCAATTAATAAAAACCAATTTTTTAGCTCATCAAAAAGATAGAAATGCGAAATTTACTACACTGACAAATTTATTTACAAAATGCTTTTCCAGATTTTCCTAAGCTAGCCATAGAAATGACAATTCACAAAAGTGGTACAAAAAGAGAACCAGATAGCTGTAGAATAATATCTCGTTTTACCTTTTTTCAAAAAAACATTTGAAAAACTACTCCACAAAAACATTATTGATTTCTTTGATTCGCACTTAAATTTTCTGGAAAAGATGTTTTGGTAAACTTCATGAAAAAAATCCTAAAAATTGAGATTTGGACCCATCACTGTAATCCATGATCTTCGTAGATCTTTCGTGGATCTCAAAAAAGCATATGAAACTAATTAAGGTGAAATACTTCAACAT